TAAATGTCACACCTGAACGCTCACATCCTTTTAATTATGTTTGAAATTATGAACGTTGCTCAACATCATGAAAATTAAACCTTATTTTCAATAAGCAATCCTGAAAAATATTTGGGGTGCTTAACTTTTTTCCAGGTGTATATATATATCCTGAGTAAGCTGCAAACGATTGGCAATGTTTTTCTTGCCCAATATTTCATAAATTACCTAATCCAGAATTCTAAATACTGTCCCTGTGTTATTGTTATTTCTTATTACTTGTCTTTCCTTGGCTAAGTGATAAACTTCGGAGCTTATAATGCTAAAATCCAGTGTTTGAGTCTCTAAGGTGAACACAATTCAAACAGTTAATTGTGTAGTGTTGTCTTTAACACAAACGAAACAAATTATTATAATTATGTCCATTAACTTACTACGATGTTTCTCAATCTCATGGCTTTCCCTTTATGCTGTTTCACATTTTTTAACTTTCCATGTTGAAATAAAAATTAAGTCTCCTGGTGAGTCAGCGTTAAGTTTACGGATTTACAAGTCTAAAATGTGGGATTCGATTCCTCGTGGTGAACTGCGTGCAGATAGCATACTGTGTAGCTTTTTGCTAAAAGTCAACAATAACAATTAATTAATTATATTTACGACAAACTTAAACAACATAGCAACTGTAACACACTTTTATAGACAGTAATACATTACATTTAGGTTACTGATTTCTTTTACTGAATCTACTTAGCGATAGATGGACAAAAACCAAATCGAGTAATGACGATACAGGCAGTGGTTTGGAAGTAAAATATTTATAGGTATCGAACACATCGGAATAACCTTATTACATCATATGAAATAGTTTAGTTTACAAGTTTATTTTATCTGTTAACATTGTATTTTTAACGTCATTGTTGGCGGAAATTTCTTCTTTGTTATTTAAACGCATTCAATTTGGAGTAAGAACACTTTCATTTTGATTTATTTAAAAGGCCTATTTATCGAATATCTGGACATTAAAGTAGTCGTGTTTCTCATTCTTACTATCAGGTTACACCGTCTTACTTATTATACTTTGAAATTTGTTTGTTGTCAAGGTCAAAACTGCCCACTGATGGGATCCCTTAATTTTAGTGTTATAATCCCTGAAGCATACCGCTTAGGTACCGGGAATATAATGAATGTGAAATTTGAGTATTTGATATTAGTTTACAAAACT